CGTTTTATAGCGTGTGCGTGCTGGCCATGGACACTGCTGTGACTTAGTTGGGGCGTGGGAAGTAGATCGCAGGCATAGCTACTGGCAAAATGTGCAGCCTTTGCGATAGCCGGCCTCCACCACTGGCGGCCCCAGCCTACTGTCTGACCACCGTGGATTGGAGCTGGCGGCAACATGCTTCTTGATTGTGAGGGGTGGCTACGCTTGCACGGTCCCCTGTATAGGCTGGGTAGTAGTGATAGGTAGGTGGTGAGAGCTTTTTCCAAAAAAAAAAACAATGTCTTCTCTGCACCATTCCAATTTTGACGGGTGTCCCAGAGGACCCTTTCTATTTTTTTCCCTCATGGCCTCCGCTGCGAATGTGGCGCGCATCCACTTGTTTTTTTTTTGTTTTTTTTTTTTAAGTGGTGTTACACGAAGATGCATGACGGGTTTGGCCTCCTGGAGTGACGTGGACTGACTACATGGTGAAGAATAGTTCTGCTTGGATATATTGAGCTGCACATTAGGGCAAGTGCGGCCCTGGTTCTTGGCCTTCATCCACAGGCCCTATGGAGGAGGCTGGTGTGTTGTAGTAAGGGGGTCTCGTGTGAAATGAGCCAGGTACTCGTCAAGTTCAACCTCGCATACATCAATGAACATTCACATGAGAGATCATGCATGATAAGCCAAATCGAGATACAATGAACTCTTGAAGATGTCATCTCCAATCTTATTATCAATATACAAGAATGTTCGTCTCCAGCGGAACTGCCGCACACACACAGGCACAATGGATCTGAACCAGATAGCGACTATGGCTCCTCTCCTCTCTCTCTCTCGCTCTTTCTCTCCCCTAGTCTTGCTTCTCTCTCTGACTTGACTCGCGCTGCCTCACACTCTCTCTCTCTCTCTCTCTCTCTCTCTCTCTCTCTCATTCTACCCTAGATCGTTACCCTGGATACACCCACTCAGGTAAGCTCACGCCTTGGTGGCTATGACCACAGTCCTTCTCTACCCCTACCCTAGCTATGGGGTCACACTCGTGCGCCCTCTTCTTCCTTGGGCTCGCAGTTCCCAAGTTGCCTTAACGCACAAGCAGCAGCAACGCTTCCGCAACTCGCAACTGAACAAGTAATGAGCCGCTGCACTGTAGCAGCTAAATATAGGACTTGGCCTTGCTTCGGTTGACTTGGCTTGGCCTGCTTCAGAGGGGTACTGGTCAGCTGAGGCCTGTCTGGTGCAAGCATTTTGTCGGTCCGGTACCTTCCAGACTTTCCTGGGACATGCTGCGAATTGGACTCGAGACTGTTGGCCTGGACTGGACTCTTCTGGACTTTTCTTGTTGTTTTGGATGGACTTCTACCGACCTAGGACTTTTCGGTACCGACACCTTCCAACCTATGATGCTTTGGACTGCAGACCCTACGGCCTATCCTACTGGGACAGACTGGGACTGGGACACTTCGGGACTCTAGGATGGGGACTCGGGTGTCTGGAGTGTGAATTGTTTGACGTGGTACCGTGCCACAAGTCGTGGTGCGTACTGTGCTGGTTCTTGGGCTCCATCAACTGGGGCCCTACGATAAAGGCTGCTGTGCTTGAGTATAGGTATCTCATTGTACTATTAAGGTTAGCTTACATGCTGTGTCACTGAGCCATTCTGTAGCTAGCTGTAGTAGGTAGCGTGAGTGTATGAAAATGTGAGATGGTGTTATGTTGTCCTGGATGTGGAAATTCCTATTGTCGACTATGTCATGGATTTGACATATTTTCATGATTTCATCTAATGCCATAATGGAGCGTGTGGAATGCTGATTTTTTCTTTGGGGATGGAATATACATTAGATACCACAGAACCATCTGATGCTGAGATGTTATTCTGGGTTTGAGTTACTGTGCTGAGCTATGTGACTCAGACGTATCAGGGCCGAGGCATGTTGATACCCAGTTCTATGTCCTACCATATCATCTCTGATGATGGCCTTCAGACATTCTGTAGCTAGCTGGTATGAAAATGTGAGATGGTGTTATTTTGTCCTGGATGTGGAAATTCCTGTTGTCAATGTTATGGATTTGACATATTTTCATCTAATGCCATAATGGAGCGTGCGAAATGCTGATTTTTTCTTTGGGAATGGAATTTACATTAGGTACCACAGAACCATCTGGTGCTGGGATGTTATTCTGGGTTTGAGTCACTGTGCTGAGACAGAGGCATGTTGATACACAGTTCTATGTCCTACAATATCATCTCTGATGATGGCCTTCAGAAGCTTTTTCCAAGAAGGCTCAAAGTATCACTTGAATGGGCAAACTCCTGATCGGATCCAAGCACTGCAACCGGCCTTGATGAGCACATTGGCATTACAGAAAGTTGTTGGCCAGACAAGCTCAATTGACTTCTTTCTCATCTCTTTCTGAGAAGTTGACCAGCTGCCATTCTGCAATCCTCGTGCATTGTCAATCCAATGCATCTTTGTCCTCCTGTCGCGTGAGCTGGCCACAGTCGTTACGTTCTACACATACCTCCTTGCACCATCTTCAGCAGCACTCTGCCATTGTCCCTGTGCACAGAACATAATTTGGCAATCTGCTGCAAGAATTGGTATCTATTTCATCTCTCTGCACATTTGGACGGTCCTGCTTATACCCGCTTATTTCTCAAAACTCTTAAATCTCCGGCAGCTCTTCAAAGCATTCTTGGAGTCACAACACATAACAACACTGGTGTTCCTTCTCATGCTCGCCGTATTGAAGGCTAAAGACGATTCGTTGTGTAGCTGAGCTCGTGGCTTCGCCAACCGTTGGTTCGGCTTTAGGAAACCTAACAAATCTGTGAGATGGATAGAGGACCTCCAGAAGCTTAATGCGGTTACTATCCGGGGTGCAGGTTCGCTTCGGAGTCCGTACCATTAATGGGCGGCCTCCTCACAAACAAGTGGCTAGTACAACAATTGCTTCTTCGTATCTCAGTTCTGCTTTGCAAGTAAGGATCTTTACTCTTGATGAGAAAGACACTGCTCTTGATGAGAAAGACACTGAGCTATAACAACAGGTTGGTGTTAGATGGTGCTGAATTGTTCCGAATTTGATTAAGTGGCACTTGACTTCAAAAACAGTGCATTCTCCTGACACTGTTGGTTATACCACAATGTGCACCAAATTCCCTCATGATCGCAGTCTGAGCGCTGTTGATGAAGGCGATGGTTATGCCCTTCGGCTTGGCTGCAATGCCCCGAACGTGGTAATTTGAGGATGGGTGCTGGATTGTTCAGAATTTGATTAAGTGGCACTTGACCTCAAAAACAATGCATTCTCCTCACACTGTTGGCTATACCACAATGTGCACCAAATTCCGTCATGACCGCAGTGTGAGCACTGTTGATGAAGGCCATGCTTATGCCCTTTGGCTTGGCTGCAATGCCCTGAACGTGGTAATTATTTGAGGACCGCAATGTGGCCAATGGACATATGATTCAGGCCTGGATGCCCTTTCTGTTTCTCAGATGCTCCGGCATCTTCGCTCTTTTGTAGAGAACACTTCTCTGTGCATTGTGATTGGCTCACTTCGCTGCAACTAATAACTGTCTTCACATTCTACACCACCCGTGTCATACACCTTCGGACTTCTTGCAATCGCCTTTCAGCTTGATGCTCCTCTTCCCTGCCTACAGGCAGAGGATGGAAATTATGTCAGTGAAGGAGGCGTTACAATTGCACTCATGCAAATAGCAAGGTTAATGCAGGTGAGTGGGTTCATCCTCCATCCCACATTTCCCCTGTGGGCCTGGCCATTACATGGCCATTGTACATGTCTCTGACCACTGGGAGATGTTGCGCAACGGTACCATGGTCCATGCACGACTGATGTCACCAATTTCTTACATAATGATGCCATTTCATTGCCACACCAAACCCTTCACACACGCTTTTATGTCGAAGATCATTCCTCTGCCCCCGTGCTGCAGCAGGATAGTGTCCAAGAGCCGCTCAAGCACTCTTTTCTGTCGGTTTATCCTCTCTCCATTTACTCTGCTTCTTTTTCACAGTGTACAAGTAAGCCGTTATGGCACACGAGGATGTGGCAGCTTGTGCTCAACTTTATCAGTGTGGGGAGACTTGTAAACGAGAGGCACAGCAAAGAGGGTAGCTAAAAGAAGAATTGGTCGAAAGAATGGTTTCAGTGTGCTGTTCATGTTTATCTTTCGTGATTGTGTGGTTTGCTTCTTAAAGTGTGCTCTTTAGTCGATAGATATGTCACAATGTATATTATCCTATGTCATATATATCATGTTACGTCATGTACATGCTTTTCTCCTTGTCTTGTTTCCTGTAGAGAGACATACGGTGTCTCCATTGCATGGTACTGTAGCACAAGACAGAAGTATTGCTCAGGAAATTGAAACACGGTTGATGTGCTCACGAAAGCAGCTGTGTGCCGCCTTCACCATTTCGTTGTATCAGTCAAGGTCAGTTTACATGCTTTGTCACTGACCCACTCAGTAGCTAGCTGTAGTAGGTAGTACGAGTGTATGAAAATGTGAAAACGTGGTGTTGTCCTGGACATGGAATTTCCTTTTGTCCACCCTTTGTCATAGATTTGACATCTTTTCATCTAATGCCATTATGGCGTGGCGTGAAATCATCACTGAAATGCTAATTTTTTCTTTGCGGACGGAATATACATTAGGTGCCACAGACTCGAGTGTTTGTTCTGGGCAGGAGTCTCTTTGCTGGGCTATGTGCCTCAGATGTATCAGGGCTGGAGGCATGATGATACACAGAGCTATGTCGCTATGTGCGCTCTTTTAGTTGATAGAATTGTGTCAATATATATCATGCCATGCCATGTACAAGATATAATATATTATAATTTTCCCCTTGTCTCGTTTGCTGTGGAGAGACATACTGTGTCCCAACCATCTCCATTGCATTGTACTGTAGTACAAGGCAGGAGTACTGCACAGGAAAATGACACACACTTGCTGTTCTGACGAAAGCAGTTGTGTGCGGAACAGGTTGATTCCCGCCTTCACTGCCCTGATGCTGCAAAGAGGACTCCTGAGAGGAGGGCCAATGGGGAGAGAAGGCGAGTGGAAGGTTTCTGCACACTGGCAAGGCAAGGATTTTCTTCAGTCCGGCCAAACAGGAGCATGTCATCGGCAGCACCTGCATTTTCAAGAAGGCAATCATGTTCACTTGGGACTTACGAGGGAGCTAGGCCTAACAAGAAACACCGGTACTGGGGCCGCTGCAATTGCTCCCTGACCCTTATTTAAGTAGATTTCAGGTGCAACCAGCTCAGCTGTACTGGCTGGGTTTTAATTCCTGTTGTGGTCTGTGGGACTGTGTCGTCTTGGTCGTTGTTGGGGGTGAGTTCAAATGTGTCATTTTCTTGCTTACTGTCATTGTAGGATGTGTTTTTTGGGGTTCCTTACTTGGTCAAATTTTTGTAGTGTGGTATAAATGTCTCCTGGTTTATTGCATAGTCCTCATCCCATATCCGGTGAAAAGCAAGGAAATTGTCATGAGGTTTCCAGAGTACTTGTTGTTACAATTTGCGGGGCATGGGTGAAGAATTGATGGATATCTCGTCATAGCAGGCGTAACTCTGCACGCAGCAGCATGCCATTTTGCCCCTTTTCGGTAATGTCTGTGTTTCTTTTTTTTGTCTATGTATATGCGCAAGCACACACACACACACACACATACGCACACACACACACACACAGAGAAAGAGAGAGAGAGAGAGAGAGAGAGAGAGAGAGAGAGAGAGAGAGAGAGAGAGAGAGAGAGAGAGAGAGAGAGNAAAGAGAGAGAGAGAGAGAGAGAGAGAGAGAGAGAGAGAGAGAGAGAGAGAGAGAGAGAGAGAGAGAGAGAGAGAGAGAGAGAGCTAGTAGGTGTGTGGTGGAAGGGGATTGGGATTGTAAGAGGGGCGGGATGGAGATGGGAAAGAGTTAGGGGGGGCGTTGAGAAGGGGAGATGAAAAAGGGGAGGACGGAGAGACGGATGGTGAAGAAGAGTGGGAACGGAGGGGGTTTAAGGGAGGACACAAAACATCAGATTATCCCTCTGCATGCTCATTCACACATATAAGAAAGGCCTCCTTTGTAAGCTGTTCCAGTTAGATTTCTGAAATCTGTGTCATGTAACTCATGTTAATAAAACCGTAACCCTGTGTGCTAAAATTTAGTAAGACTGTTTAATGAATGTGATCAAGTAGGTTTGGATGGAAGTAACAATTGAAATTTGATCCCCCTGTGTCACTTGTTCTTCAGGATGGGAAACAGCAGCAAGACCTCCTTGGAGGATGGGGAGTCAAGATTGGTGAGTTCCTCTCGCACTCACGTTCCATTTTGCTTTCCGTCCTCTTCTTCCTGTTGCACTCTCTCTCCCTCTCCCTGTTTCCATCCATTTGGCTTTCCATCCTCCTGTTCCTGTTTCACTCTCTCGCCCTCTCCCTGTACTACATGAAAGAAGGGACCTATTGGGGTTTTGGGCTGGCGCATGAAATTGAAAGCCTGGGGTACCACAGCTCAAATCATTTCTCTCTCGTTCCTTCTCCTAATGGTGGACCATGGTCCTTATGGTAGCTGGCAGAGATACCTGTTGCTGAGTGTGTGGCTTCTCTTGGGCCGCACTCACGCGATAACTTCCTGATGCATCTGATTGCTCTTCTTGCCAGTACTGGATGCCTCTGACCACAATGACGTCCTGAGAGCAGTCAAAAACGTTGTGGTGTGAGTATAGCCCCTTACTGTTGCCCTCTGTTGCTGTCCCGGTCTCACTTCATTTTCATCTTTTTTTGTTAATCACCTGGAGAGTTCTATTCATCCTCTCCCTTCCCATGATTATCTCGTCTTTGACTCCATTTCAATCAAGTCTTATCAGAGTGTTGGGCTCAGGCTAGATTTAAACCCAGAATCTTCCCCCCCTCGAAAAAATTCATTGCAGTCCGGCATATTCCTAAGAATTGATTATAAGCTTGTAATTATTGATACTCACTTCATTTTCATCTCCCCCATTTTGAAGTCTTATCATAGTGTTGGGCTCAGGCCAGATTTGAACCCATTCCTAACAATTGGTTATAAGCTTGTAATTATTAATGTGCAGTCTCGTGAAGTGATGCTGTGAAACGTGTGATTGATGTCGGAAATAGCTTAATGGTAGAGTATACGCTTGTCAAGGCTAAGGTTGGCTACACGGGGGCTCAGTTGGTCTTCGGCAATTTGATGTGCACAGGAAAGGAATTGCTCCCTTCTTGGGATTTGGTTCTTTATTGTAGAAAGCATGGGGTGTTCGCTTATGCAATCTGGAGTTAGACAATCGCCAGCATTCCAAACTGGATTGTACATAGTGATGCGTTGCTTCTTATGGCATCATCTGAGCAGATGCAGATGTCTTAGCTTGTAGCAGGTCACTAACCTTCTCCATGACCTCATATGTTGAATAATGGCTCGCTGTTGAGATAAGTAATGCGTCCATGTCGTTGGATGTGAACTCTGGTTGTTGATCTTGGTGGTGAAGGTGACTACACGGTCAAGGACAGCAAGCTCAAGGATGGGGTCAAAGTCAATGGCTGGAGTCGATTGTGTGGGTTCAGAGGTATGGCGTAAATGCTGCAAGAAGCCTATGACTCTTTTACCTTAACTAATCAGTGTGGTATAGCTTGAACATTGAAAATTCTGCTCATAGATTTGATCCAAACGATTGCAAGACTTCCAAAGCCTGCAAATGGGGATTTCTTCCTTCCTCGTAGAAGTACATGGCTGGGGCTTGGTTGGCGAGGTTGACCTAAGCTCCGCGCAAAGCCTACAACTCTGATACCTCAGTGCATTAGTGTGCCAAAGTTTGAACATGGAAAATTCTACTCCCACGTACAGAGAAAAAAGTTATCAGACTTTCCAAGCCAATAAGTAGGGATCTCCTGCTCTTAACCCCCCCCCCCCCCCGCCCCGTCCGAAAAGAACTTGTGCTCCTCCCCACTTTTTTGCTATTATACTTTTTGGTCAGGTCTGAAAACTTCAGGGTCACTAGTCTTTGGTTTATCCAGTTCTTACACAGAATTGTGGTCCTGTTTTTGCTGTAGTTCCTCTGTGCTGGCGTTCCAGCTTGCTTCCTTGGTTTACGGTTCTTCAGATGTGACATTTGTCAATGTGTGGTCTAACATCAATGCTTTTACCTTGGAATTGCCTGTGACCATGCATGGAATCGATCCCATCATATTCACGATAACGTCTCTGTTCATCGTCGCCTGCATGACACCTTTTCCAAAAGTGGAGGCATACAAGTTACGATTTCCACCACACCCTTGCATTGTTGCCGTACTCGCACGCACTCTCTGCATGTGTCTCTGCATGGCTGAGTAAAGTCTCAATGCCAGTCCCGGGTTGTGTACCAATTAATAAGTGTTCTCCACCTGCGAGCATGGAAGGTCACACTCTTGCTGTAAATTCTCAGGACCAGTCAAAGTTCTCAGTACCGATCAACAGTTTTCTCTTGGATCCACCCACAGCTGTGCATGGAATAACCCATGGCTCAGCCATAACAACAGAATGCCTGCAACAATGCAACTGTGGTGGCATGTTCAGAAGTGCCATTCTGCTGTGGAGCTACTGTCTTCACGCGAATATAACACCCATTCCTGACGACTCCATCTGGTCTGAAAGTTGCCCCAAATACAGCTATAATGACCGGGCGTTCTATTTGGGTGAAGACGGTAGGCTAGTTTAGTCGTCAGTCTTTTTTTATTTTCAAAAGCTAGGGTAAAAATCCAGGCAGCACGGGTGGGGAGCAGTCGTTAGGGTACCCTCCCGGGCAGGGTTGGGGCAGGGTCCGGAGCAGACCTAGCACACGATACTAAATAAGAATTGAAAATAGTAGTATTCAAAAAAATTCCGGCAACAACTTTTCGCCGACGTTCATGTTGGAATTCCTTATTAATTAGAAAATGAGACTAGTCCTTCGTGACGTCCGTTAAAATTGGAATGATACAGAGAAGATTAGCATGGCCCCTGCGCAAGGATGACATGCATAAATCGAGAAATGGTCCTTCGGGACGTCCATTAAAATTGCAATGATACAGAGAAGATTAGCATGGCCCCTGTGCAAGGGTGACACACATAAATCGAGAAATGGTCGGCATTTGAAAAAAAAAAAAGAAGAAGAAAATGGGATTTAATCATTTAAAATGAATCCCTTTGGAGTCCGGACCCTTAAAAAATCTGTTTATAGAGCCATCGCCAAACTGGAAGATATGGCCAGATTCTGACTGGTCAGACAAGCTCAGTCTAGGCCCGATGTCTTTTTCTTTTTTTCGTTTTTCCATCCTTGCCTCTCTTTGACATGGCTGGTTTTCCCAGGCCAGGGGGCTCCCAGGCTAGGCGGGTTCCCCTGCCCCCTTTCCTGGGCATGCTACACAGGGCGGGTCTTTGGCCAAGTCCTAAGGACTGTTTTTGTTTTCTTTTGACTCACCAGCACAAGGCCGACCTACCTCGACAGCTCGAACCGGACACCCCCCATTGCCAGCCCACCTTTAGCCGATGGGAGCGAACGGAACATCGGCGAGCACAAAAACCACAGACAGGACCTTACGTGCAGTTTTCCATGAAACGAAGACCATCACCCACAAACAGGTGCATCTGAACCTATGATTTGTTTACTAACACTTACTAAAGATTGTTTGTGTTTTCTTTTGAAGATTTTTAAACTTTCTTTTGATTAACCAGGATTCGAAGTTTTTGAACTCACGATCCGTCTATTAGCACTTCCGTATGTGTGCCATTCAGGCACATGGGCCAAGGTTCAAGACCAGAGTGACTACTGTTTTTTTTATATATATAAGAATTATACAGCTGTCTTCTCCTCATATGGGGGACAGTTGTGTATTTTTTACCTGTGCATTAGCTACCCATATCTATGACCTATCCACAAGCCAGATGCTGGATCACAACTATTCAGGAATAGCAGCTACTACCCCAGACAAGCAAGAGCCTATCCGCACATGAAGGGTAGGATCCAGGGCCAGGGTCAAAGGCTACCTTAAATTCACTAACCAGAACAAAGGGTCCACATTTACCTATCTCTGCTCTGTGCGGAGAGCAGTACCCAAGCTCCTAACACCTTGTGCGGGCTGGAAAGAATCACTTTCACAACCGGCGAGGAGGCCCAAGCCAGCAGTCTCCGCTAATGAGAACCCCAGGAGGCCGTGGGGATGGAAAGGGTGATGTTGGGTATCGTGCCCATGACCTTCTGAGTGCCACTTATGTGCTCAACCAACTGAGCTAGCCTGCTTGACTACTGTGGTTTATTGCTCTTGAACCTTGTGTTTTGACCTGGGGTCTGGTGGTACTTCGGATTTTATTCTGATGTAGCTTGCACCTATGGACCTGTCTTCGGAGGATGAGCGCGATGGAGAACTGCTGAGGAAGGATGAGACGGAAAGATTGCGTTGTTCGGAGACTTGGTCATTACGGAGGTGGGATATCACAACAGAATTATATACAGATGCTTTGAATGTCTGTACTAATTCAGCATCAGAAGTCCAATGTTGGGACATAATGGGGGCTGGGAGTTAGGCACACTGAATTCTACGGGATTACATTGTCAGGTATGGCTATTGTCACTAATATGGTAGTCTTCAGGTTGTATTCCTTGAAGGTGTAGAGGGCGAGTGTGAAAGAGGGAAAAACATAACTAACGTCTTCAGCCTTATGTTATTGTTGTATATGGATTGAAGTTGCCCAAAATACAGCTATAATAACCAGGTGTTATATTCAGGTGAAGACTGTAAACCACAGGTGTGGTTGCATGGAGGTTGTTGCCACTTGTTGAGGGAAGAGAACTAGAGGGAGGGTGAGGGGGAGGCAAGATCGAAGGCAATGCAAAAGGCAAAGAGCAGAAAGATGAGGGGTGAGAGGGTGAGGATAGGAGAGAATGGGCAATAAGGAACTTGAAGGAGGAGGGGGCTGGTGAGCAAGAAACCAAGAATGAGGGAACAAGTCCTGCATTAAATGGAGGACAGAAGTTGTAATTTTGCTACTCTAGGGTTATTAATCATAACCTGTCTATTCATCGACATCGAAGAGTTTGCACAACTTTGCAGGTTTGCTTACATGGTCTAGTCGGAAAACAAATCCGCATTACCTCTCAGAGGATTGAATGTGTACAGCAGACAGTTCCATGCAGGAGGGAAGTGTGGGATGTGAGCTGGGTTGTCAGCAGTTTCATCGTAGAGCTTCAAACTCGCTGAAACCACCAGTACATGGCCCAGCCAACTTTAGAATCATGATTGAGCCTCTCGGGATAAATCAGAGGCTCATGGTAACAGGACCAAAATGGCTGGCGGTGCCAACCAAAGCAAAAACAAAACGCAAGCGTGGCGTTCCGGCCAAGCTTGGCACGCAGTGGGAATCAGCCTCATACAAAAGGGGCTTGGGTGTGCTGGTGGTTTAAGTATGTGAATTCCGACCTCTCCAACTGTCGGATTGAATGTGTACCATACAACTGGCAGTTCCATGCATGAGGGAAGCGTGGGATGTCGGCTGGATCGTCAGTGGTTGCATCTCAGCACTTCAATCCTGGTTACTTGCTTGAGTTTGTGAAGTCCATGCACAGTTGGTGAAGAAGACTATATAGTCGCATTGGTTGTTTTGCTTTGCTTCCGTTGTTTTGTATGGGTGTTGAACGAACCGCTGGTGTGTTTCTGCTTGCTGGTGATTGATTTCAGGTTTCAAGGGATGAGGATCTCGTATCCAGGCCGGTAGGTTGCTATTTGTGAATTTAATATTCATCCATCTCTTCATTGATCTTTTCTGCTTTTGGTGTTTTTTGCCGGTTGAGCTTGGTTCTAAACTGTGTCTCTTTTTAAAAGGACTCTATCTTAATCCAACTCAGGCTCAAAGAAAAGTAAAAAGAAAAGAAAAGAAAGAGTGTGCTACATGTAATCGTTGCGCCCTCAGACCTGGATGAGGGAGATAACAGTTACTGATCCATTGCCTACTTTCACACACTCTCTGCACTCGCGGTTAAAGACCACCTGAAATTTCAGAATGAAAGATTCTGAAGTGGTATGAAACTGCTGAAATAGCCTGAAGACACTTCAAGTCATTTCAGAAGTTTCGGGTGGTTTGCAGGACAAGTTTTATGTTTTTTTTTTTTTTTTTTTTTTTTTTTTTTTTCTGCCTGTTTTTTCAGCCACTCCAGGTCATTTCAGGAATTTCAGGTGGGGACCTGATACCGCGGAAGTGGCTGAAGCTTCTGAATGGGGTTTCAGGGGGTACCTGAAACCCTTTTCAGAAGCTTGAGCCACTTCAGGTCTTTTCACGAATTTCAGGTGGGGATCTGAAATTGCTGAAGTGGCTGAAGCTTCTGAAAGGGGTTTCAGGTACCCCCATCCAAATGGTTGGATGGGGGTACCTGAAACCCCTTTCAGAAGCTTCAGCCACTTCATGTCATTTTAGGAATTTCAGGTGGGGGCCTGAAACCGCTTAAGTGGTTGAAGCTTTTGAAAGGGGTTTTAGGTACCCCCATCCAAGCATTTGGATGGGGGTGCTTGAAACCCCTTTCAGAAGCTTCAACCACTTCAGGTCATTTCAAGAATTTCAGGTGGGGACCTGAAACCACTGAAGTGGCTGAAGCTTCTGAAAGGGGTTTCAGGATGGGGCTACCTGAAACCCCTTTCAAAAGCTTCAACCACTTCAGGTCATTTCAGGAATTTCAGGTGGGGACCTGAAAACGCTGAAGTGGTCGAAGCTTATGAAAGGGGTTTCAGGTATCCCTTTCATAAGCTTCAACCACTTCAGGTCGTTTTAGGAATTTCATGTGGGGACCGCTGAAGTGGCTGAAGCTTCTGAAAGGGGTTTGAGGTACCCCCATCCGAACCTGAAACCCCTTTTAGAAGCTTCAGCCACTTCAGGCCATTTCAAGAATTTCAGGTGACCCTCTCTTCCTGCTCTAGTGCATGGGGTGGTGCTTGTCCCACTACGCATTTCGACTATGGTGTCAGGTGCACAACTGAGCGACAGTTCTACTCCTCACCACTTAGACTTCTACCCCTAACTGACTTAACTTAATGACCTATTGACTGACCTATTGACTCTCGAAGGACTACAAAACCTTCCCCTTCGATCCAGCAAGGTTACCACGGCCGACAGAAGCTTTCGCCACCACTATCCTTCACAATCCCACTTGGCTTTCACTCCGGTTCAGGACCTTGGCAACTAGGGTCTCTAGCCTAGACCTATTACTAAGCTGTCACTATAGGACTTCGGCGTGATCAGGAGGCATTCAAGGAGATCCCCCATAACTCCTCGGGAATTCTTTAACGTCGCAAACAGGACGACGCGATCAGCAAGTCCTCTCAAGACTTAGACAGCTTGTTGTGCAGCCCAGAACTCGGATTTTGGGCCTACCATGCCACACTGAGCAGGCCGCCGGTCTGTACCGGTCCTTTGGAGGGTTTGTCCTCCGGGTCAGTCATTCGTCAGACACGGCCTTTTGCCCTACTCAGCCCGTGTGGGTTTGGTCAACAAAGCTCTACGACCTCATACATAAGAGTTCCTATCACCTAGACAGAAGAGACTCAATGCAGAAAGAAGAGACAGACAGACTCGACAAGTACCATAGGGCGAGGGGATAGGCTGAAGGCTCGGCGAGAGTATACCAACTCCAGCTTGGTCAATTTTGTGGTCAACAGCCCCGGTCAACGCTGGTCAACGCTTGGTCAAATTGCTGGTCAACGCCTTGGTCAATGCCAGTCAACTCCCTAGTCAACTCCTCGGTCAAAGTCTTGGTCACCGTTGGTCAACACCTTGGTCAACCCTCGACTCCGCTATGGTTGCCGATCCCTTTCTTTCTCACCAACCTTCACTTCCCTCTTTCTCTCGCCTTCCTTTCTTCTTCTTTCACCCTGGCTATGTCTCTCTCTTTCCTCCTTCGTCCCTCCCTTCTTCTACGGCTATGGCCTTTCTCTCCTCCTCGTCTTTAGCTTGCTCCTTACTCAACCTTCTTTCTTCTTCGTTGACTCGGTGTCCGAGCTCGGCGGCTATGGCTGCCACCTCCTTTCTTGGACCGCACAGCAATCTTGTATCACTTTTTTTTTCTCTCTCTCTCTCTCTCTCTCTCTCTCTCTCTCTCTCTCTCTCTCTCTCTCTCTCTCTCTCTCTCTCTCATCGTTGTCTTCTTCGTAGGTACGTGACACCTCCTTCCGCAGCACAGCTATGGCGGACTTTTCTTCGACGCACTTATGCTATGGCGCGTGGAATAGCGGGAACCAGCTCCGATACCAGTGCAATCAGACTCACTTTCGTCTCACTTCGCATGCATGTAAACAGATGGCTTCTCTGTCTCTCTCGCAGCCCACTTCAGCTTCGGGCATCTGCAGACCACCTCGCACAAGACCCACTGGCAGCGCTTCTGCTTGGGTCGCAGCAGTATGAATGAATGGCTGGACGCTGGCTCTTGATTTATACTTCTGTAAGTCGCTGATCTGCCCTTTTTCCACCGGGCCCATGGTGCACACAGTCCCTCATGGTACTTGCTGACTGTACATAGTAAGACTGGGACTGGGTACCGCTGACTAAGCGAAGTTGGACTGACCACTTGCCCACTTGCCTCTGGTCTGCTGTGGGTAACGTGAGGAAAACTCCAAAGGCCACTTCCGGACCTTTCGGAAGTCTGTGGACTTGGCCTTTCGGGATTGTAGCAGCTACGACCTTGACCTTTCAGGATTGTAGCAGCTACGACCTTGACCTTTCAGGATTGTAGCAGCTACGACCTTGACCTTTCAGAATTGCTAAAGCCACGGCCTGTACACAACTATGACCCCTACTGGACAAACCTACAGATCGAACCCCTACAGCTGCACAGACCTACGACAGACTACGGTCAACGACCAAAACACAGGTCACGGGTTCAAACCATACTTGCGGCGCATTTGTGCGGTCCGCGATGCGGTGCGCTGCGCCATGCGGACTGCGCACGGTGACACTGCGTGCGCACGAGGTGCGCCGTGCGCGCAGCGCGTGGGGACGCGCTACCCCTGCGAGGTGCGCACTGTGCGCCATGCCTCTTTTCGGTGTGTGTGTGTGTGTGTGTGTGTGTGTGTGTGTGTGTGTGTGTGTGTGAGAGAGAGAGAGAGAGAGGGAAGAAACCGTGTGCTGACACTATCGGACCGAAGAAACCGCCCTTATCAACGGGCAACATGAATCCGGAAGTGGGGCCACATGCACAAAGGACGAAAAATATGGCGGTGTATCTTTCCATGTTCTGGTGGAAGATTTATTCATACGTTGGGTGGTGGAGAGCGAAGGGTCGATGAATCAGGTAAGCACGTAACGTATCTCTGGCCGATGAATCAGGTAAGCACGTAACGTATCTCTGGATCCTTTTTTTTTTTTTTTTGGAGAAACTCTGAACAAATGAGACTGAATCTTCCGCTTGAACATGGAAAGATACATTGATGAATCAGGTTAGCACGTAACGTGTCTCTGGAACCTTTTTTTTTTTTTTTTT